AGACTGACTTTTGGAGATTAATTGCTACCAAGGTAATATCAAAGAAAGAAAACTCCATATGCAATCCTGTTGAAACCATACTTTATTAGAGATGGAAGAAACTTTGGATTTCATCAACCCCAGTATTTTGCAAATTTCACTCTGTACTATAGTGGAGGAGTTTAGGAATTACTGAGATAATGGGTTAGCTTAATGGGCAGGATTCTGCTATCCCATCCCATCCCACCCCTAACTTTCACCTCTGGTTTCTGCTCAATGGTGTATGTTTTTATTTAAGAAAAGAGTCACATTGTTAAATATAAACTTTAAAACTAACAAATTCTTCATTTTATAGGCAAGGAAAGGTCCAGAGAGATCATTTGTCCAAGCTGCTTAAAAGCACAGCAAAATGAATGCAAGTCTTCCCTTTTCATAATACTATACTGCCCCCCTTCCAAAAACATTTTAACAGAATTGACTACACAGAGACAGAGAGAACCTTTATACACTTACTATGTTTTTTCTAACTAAAAAATTTTAAATTATTTTATTCTTACTAAATACTACTTGTGAATAAGAAATAAAATTGACTCTGTCTAATAAAGTTGCCACTAGCCACATGATTTAAATTTTAGTTAATTAAATGAAACATCCAGTTCCTCAGTAACACTAGCCCTCTTTCAAGCATTCAAAAGCTACCTACATATGACTACTCCTTGGACAGACAGATACAGCACATTTCCATCCCTGCAGAAAGTTCTATTGCAAAGTGACGGTGTAGGCAGGATCCCAGCACTACCTAAACAGAACAGCATTTGAGTCTTGTGCCACAAATGCCACCAAGACACAGTAAGCCCCTCAATTTAGTAATATAATTTCTTTCAAAAAAGAATGGGGCAAGATACACATTTTTTTCACACTTTCTTCTGTTTAGCTGTAAGTACAAATATATGCCATATAAAAACTTGGGAATTTATCCTGTCACACTTCTCAGTAGAGTTGATTATATTCCAGCAAAAAGTTTATATAAAGGGGAAAACTGCTTATCAGATGATTCAAAAGAAACACCTTCAAATATATATGTATACAACATCTTCATTGTTAACCTGATCTCAACCAAGAAATCCTCATGCATCGGAATCCTCATGCATCTATCGCCAATGTTTTGGCCAATTATTTCTAGTTCCCATACCAACATAAATAATTTAAACATATTTCAAATAATATAAAAGTATTTGTTTACAAGTCATTGCAAATAATGTAAAAGCAAAGCTAATCCACTCAAAGTGAATCAGGGCATCTCATTCCCAGTTCTGAAAGTCCCTATGTTTGCATCAGCTCCAATTTTGCAGGTGAAAAGTTTTTTCTCAGTTTAGAATACGTTGTCTTTAATGTTTCAACTAATCTAAGGAACTCAAAAGAAAGAAAGGGCTACTTAGATTATATGAAAAATGAGAGGGAATGATAAACAACTACAAAATGCAATGGCTAAAATATTCGAATGATAAGAAAATGAACAAAGGTTGAAATTTTCTTGCACATGTCATATCTATAAGTAATCCTTTGTAATTAAAGCTACACTGCAGAATTTCATGTAATTCAATGAGAGTTATATTCTACAAATGTCTTGGCTATTCAGGGTTGCCATTTTACTAATCCTTTAATAACGTCTCATACTGCAACTTGAAAGAAAACTAACTGGATTATTTTATCCACTCATCTGCTTCATCAGAACAGATAATATTTTCAGCTCCCATTTGGCCTCAAGAAATATTTTATTTCTAAAGATTCTAAAGTAGTGATATCTGCAGGTTGGCATTTTATTGATGGCTAGTTAGTAAGAGCAATGAGAGCACACACTATCTCACTGTAGAAACCAGAATAAAAAACAGGTACATGGTGATTTATTTTCATATTTGTGACCAGAAAGTACTAAACTTTATGCTAAAAAGAAGCATATTCTGGCTTTATTTATAGCACATGGCATAATGCCTGGTGGGTATGACTGTGGGTAGTGGACATTAAAGGGTTTAGACCAGGGGTGGGCAAACTTTTTGACTTGAGGGCCACAGTGGGTTCTTAAACTGGACTGGAGGGCCGGAACAAAAGCATGGATAGAGTGTTCGTGTGAAGTAATATAAATTCAAAGTAAACATCATTACATAAAAGGGTACGGTCTTTTTTTTTTTTTTTTTAGTTTTGTTCATTTCAAACCCTGGGGCCGTAGTTTGCCCATGGCTGGTTTAGACTCTTGCCTACATGGCTTTGAATTCTAGTGTTGCCACTTACTAGCTGTGTGACCTTGGTACATACTTAACATCTTGACTCTCCCTTTCACTTTCTGTAAACCAGGGCCATAGTTGGAAGGAGGGGGTTGACAGCAAAGAGTCACATGAACTTTGAAAGAGAAGGAAATGTCATATATCATACTTACTAGTGGTAGATAGATGATTATATGTTTCCAAAACTCACTGAACTTCTACACAGAAAATTGGAAATTTTTATTTAAAAGTTATACCTCAAAATTTTTAAAAAGATTATATATAATAAATCAGCATAGTTGAGAGTGCTTCTGTGTCTCTAGCAGACAGCTGTCTCTCCTTGGTGGGCAGAATTCCCACTGATTTTCACATCCAGATGTTATATGGGCACCTCTTCCTCGCTCTAGTGCTCTGGTGGGGGAGCCTGGCATGGGATTGAGACTCCATGCTCCTGTGGGGGAACCTTTACAGCTGACAGATCCCTCTAGAATCTCAGCCACCTGTGGGACTGAGGCCATCCCTTTTTGTATCTCCGCCCTTCCTATCAGTCTCAATGGGGCTTCTTCTGTAAAATTTTGGTTATGAAGCTTCTGTTCAGCTAGTCTTCAATTGATTATTCAGGTTGATTGTTCTGTATTTTAGCTGTAATTCTAGTTTGGTCCTGGGAGAAGTGAGTGTAGCTTCCATCTATTCTGCTATCATCTTGGATCCACCTCTGACCTTTTTATAAGAAAATTTTTTGCCAGAAAAATAAACAAACTAACACATACTTGAAAAGTAGCCTTGAACACAATTTAAAATCCTCCAAAAATGTTCCCTAAACTCGGTATAAACTTGGCAGGTCTCTGACTGCTTTTCCCAGAATGTTACAGTATAACAGAGGCTGTATGTTTAGATTATACAGGAGCCAGATTGATAATACAAGTGAGTGTCATGGAGCAAAAGGTACACTGCCATAAACTGGAGAGTACATGATCCCTCCCAAAAGAGTTGCCACACTGAGTCCTACAGATTGACACAGGAAAGAAAACATACCGCAGTGTAGCCAGAGCATCTGAAGTTTGAAAAGAAGCAGAAATCTCAACTTGTATGGGAAATGTCCTGATTTTTTTAGAATGATGGTTCACATTTTTTACATCAATATGTGGGCCAAATAAAACACATCCATAGGCAGAAATATGACCTCTGGTCCACAGTGCAGACTTCATGACTTTTTCCATAACAAAGTTTTGCCATCTTTCTAAACACTTAACATATTTATTTGTAACTAGAGGCCCGGTGCACAAAAATTTGTGCACTGGCGGGGGCAGGGGGGTCCCTCAGCCCAGCTTGCCTCCATCACATACTGGGAGCCCTAGGGGATGTCCTACTACCTGCTCCCTGCTCCCCTTGGGGAGTGGGCCTAAGCCACAGTCTGGCCTCCCTTTGCGGGAGT